GTATAAAAATATGATATTATAACTTTGATAATCAAACGTTAAACATTTAAAATTCTCTATTCTTATTTTCTATTAGTAAAAAAACAGCATAAAATAGTAATGAATTGTACATAATTTAAATTTAAAGTATCAATTTAATAATTTCCTAGATAAAAATACTTGTCATGAAAAACCAACTCAATGTCAAATTTTGAACATCAAATTTTGCATAGAATAATACGTGAGAGGATGAATAGCTGAAACTTACACAGTGAAAAATCTACTTTATTTAGAGTAATACTTAACTAGTCAGCCATCCTATACTTTATCACGAGTTGAAAATGTTTTTTTCCTATGAAAAATTGAAACACATGGAATTTTCAACACCTTCTTTAACATCAAAAAAATTCATTAGCATATATTAGAAATATTATTAAAAAATAAATATTTTTATTTTAAAAAACAAAGTTCATCTTTATAAAATATATAAAAAAAATATGGATAAATAAGAATAATCTTTTCAAAAATCAAATACCTATAAAATAATTAAAAAATATTTGTTATTTAAAAAACTAATGAGAAAAATAAAAAATATCAAACAATGGATATTAATTGAAATATAAATTAAAAAATTATTTTGAAAAAAATATAAAAAAATTATTAATATTTTTTAAATAAAAAATAAATTAGTATTGGAGGTCCTAATAAGCAAGGCCTACATGTCTAGCCCATTTAGAGACTGCTCCTGCTCGGGCTCTTATTTTTTCAAAAGCTAATGGAGCAAATGCCCCAAAAGTTTTATAAAAATCTAATGTGAGATAAATTGCTCAAATTCTTATGGTGATTAAAAAATTAAGATTTATAACTTTTTTCCTACAAACTCAGTTTTTAATTTATTTTTTTAAATTATTAGTTAATAAATAAAATCTAGTGCTCGGAAAAGTGGAGCAAGATGCAAAATCTGGACTCATGCGAAAGACAAGTTCTCAATACTTTTGGAGTACACTTATACAGTAGAGTACAAAATATTAAAGGATCTAGAAAATTCCTCAGAGGCCATGGAGCCTACCCATGCTTGAATTGCTTCTGCAGGTGCACCCTTATAAAGATGAATTTAATGAATGAGAAATATCGAACTTGAAAACAGAAATCTTTTTTTAAATCTAAGAAAACTATGAGATCCCCACTCGGAATTAATTATTTTTCAATTCATTCCTCTGTGTATTAGACTTATTATATAATGAGATTGACTCGAAAAAAAATTATTTAATGAGATATTATATCAGCTTGAATTAACTGTTTTTATTAAAATGACAATATCTTGTTTCTCTCTCTCTCTTTTTTTAATTGGCAAGACCATGTTTAGATTAAGTTTAGTTGAGTTTATTGAGTTGTTATAAATCTAGCTAAATTGAATAGTTTTATTGAATTAATATCTTATATAATTCAGTTAAAAAACTAACATGAATTTCGAGTTTTTTAAATTAATACATCAAACTAGTTTAATTTTATCAAAACCATTGAAATTGAATATTAATGAGGGCTTATGACCCCAATTTAAGCTTCGGATATTGCAATTTCCTCCCTTAAACAATAGAAACCCCAGTTTCCATGGAACAAAGTCAGATTCTATTTTAATTAACCCATGAGACCAAAAGGAGCTGAAATAACCTCAAAAATAATTATCACAACCTGGCTCTTCTTGGCACATAATGTCAAGCTTGCTGTGCCCCTCTTTTACTTCATGGCAGTGCAAACTCTCATCTAATGCCATTTCTATGGCTAAAACCACCAATACAAACAAATCTGTTGGGATTTTTGTATTGTTTAAAAATTGTAATTTAACCCGATTTTGAATTAGATTCCGAGTTAAAAAGAAAATTTGTTTAGTCAAAACCCAATTAACCCAATAAGATTTTTAATAACCTCGATCCAAATTTTATCAAGGAGTAAAAATAATCGACCCAGGATATTGACATGATAACAGAATCAGCTAGATGCTTTTCCAATTCCGTCACATGACATTGTAACTATGATTTTCAGTAATGTCAGTCAACGAATAGCTCCTGTTGATGTGATTTTGTACCATAGTGGTTTTAATTGATGTAAAAAAAAAAAAAAAAAAAAAAAGGAGCAGGCAATCATGGTAGTTGCCGAATATAAAAAGTCTTGGGAGGGCAGCCCACCCACCTGAAGAATATCATGCATGGTGTTTCTTGCAGATTGCATGTGTACAAGCTAGAAGAAAAGGGAAAAACGATATCGAAGATCTAACATTCTCAGGGACTATAATGAAACATGAAATCCTCAAAGACAAGGACAAATTGTATTACGACTACAGACAACCATGTTGGTTCAACAAACAAGAAATAAAGTAATGAATCACTTCACCACAAGAAGAAATGTCCCGACATGAACCCTACAAGAGTTGGCGTGTGTTTATTTAAACACAGTTTGCCGCAAAAAAAAAAAAAATTGATTTCTTAATTACAGTTTGAAGTGCAATTGACCGCGTACACAAAGCAGCATGTTTTTCAAGGCAAGGGGCATCAAATCAAGGAGATTCTTAGCGAAGATCTCTCCTCTATGTTCTTCTCTGGCTTCATCTTCTGGACGTCACTCGAAAACTTCCACAGAAGTCCAACATCATTCAATGCATTGTGCCCTAGAAGGCCAGAATTCACAGAACATGAAGCAAAATTGTTTGTGCTTGCTCAATCATGCTGTTAACTATTCAAGATGCTCGTGTTCTTACTAAAGGCACTTGATAAGAGGTTCAAAACTGATGCTCAGGGTTTTCAAGTGATCAGTTCAAACTTCTCAGCCTCGCTGTCAATAAGCTTATCACGCACAATTTCTAACCTTTTGTCTTTAACTAACACTCTTGAATAAAGTACATAAGCTTATCACGCACAATTTCTAACCTTCTGTCTTTAACTAACACTTTCAAAAGTTATGCAAGATCATAAGAATCTTCAACTAAGGACAAACTTGAGCAAATTCTTAAACGTACAAGACAAAGACCAACACTCGTATCTACATCATCTCTTTTGCTGAGGCAAGGTCAATGAATTTATGAAATGTAATTCAGAAGCTCTAGACCTGGTAAGCGAACATAACTGCACTACTATTGATCAAGCATTTTGAAGGCAGAGAAAGAATTAAGAAATACATACGCAAAGCACGTGAGTCTACCATTCAAGTCCACAGCAAAAGGCAGATGTTAAACTCAGCTGTTTGCCACAACCCAATACACTACTCGTTAATTGTAGTCCCCCAACTCCTACCAGCTGGATCAAAATGCCATGACAGGAAGAAAGACAATTTGAAACGTTTTTCCATATCACATGCATAACTGCAAGGAACTAAGAATAGATGGCATAAATTTTCCACGAACAGACAGACTTCCTTGTCGTTTCAACCGCTCAAAGGAGTTTGACAAGGAGCTGTGAGATTATAAGTGCAATGATGAAGATAAAATTATAGGAAATAATCACAACAGACATCTGGAAGGAATGAAAGAGGACATTTCAACGGGCCAAGCATGTCATGCAAATCATATGATAGAGGAACCCAGGGACGGTATGAAACATAATAGCATTATAAAAATTACAGGCAGTACAAAACTCCCATTTAAAGTGAAGAAATAGGCAAAAGGATAACCAAATTAATAAACCAAAAAATTCAAAATGAAACTAGAGATTTTACTAGGCCTCAATTCCTATATAATTTACTGGAAAGTCATCAAAAGAAGAGACCCACTGCAAAAGCCAACAATGGCTTCACTTACATTCCACACCTGCTTCAGCAGCACGACGAGGCTTGCTTTTCCGCCTACTTCCATTATGACGAAAACCATTAGACTTGGTTGAGTCATCAGTATTTGATCTGGTTCCAACACCATTTTCTTCCTTTACTGAATCTGGTTTCTCCTTTGCCTGTGAATATCGCTTCCTCTTCTTTCCATTTTCTGCTGCTGTTGGACTTTTTGAATCTTTGCTTGTGATGTCAGTTTTTCCTTTCTCTACATCTTCATCTTCAATTTTTTCAACTTCCTCCTCATCGATGTCATCTTTCAGCGGTTTTTGTGGCCTTCCCCTTCTCTTCTGTGCTGGGATTTTCTCTTCCTCGCCACTTCCAGTATCATCATGATTGCTAACAGTCAACTTCTTTCCTTTTCCTCTGCCTCTACCCATAATTCTATAACTCCGCAAAAGAAAAACTCATACAGATGAAGAATATTTCTGTCAAATCAAAGAAACAAGAGTTAAGCTTTTAATAAAGAAATTTCAATGGCAAGAAGCACACCCGTGGTTTCACAACAGTGAACCATCTGAGCAGAGTTCATGTATCATGCCAGCCAACCAGAAACATGCATTACAAAGCTTATAGAGATTTCTATTCCATGATCAGTGGTGCTTCATAAAGTGAATAATTTCAAGACTAACCAGCCCAACTCCACTGCTGACATTAACATAAAACCTGGCGTCTGAATCCAGACATGTTTCAAAGATGACTTCACACTACCTTCCAAATACTTAAATAATAAATGCATTACATCATTTATAGGATTCCAAATGCTTACATGGTTTCACTTATCTTATATTCATAACTTAGTGCGATAGCTCCCTTCCCTTTAATGACATTATTATACACGCATAATGGATTACACAGAGGCCAAATGCCATTTTCTCAGCTCGATAACCCCAAACAAGATCAGAACTACAGATATGAAGCTGAAGACTCATTTGTTAAGAACATAGTCTTTACCCTCTATTTGGTTGCAAATACAATACAAAGGACCAACACAATCACAAAGGTTTTTCCTATCAAATGTGTGCTTGAAAGTTAAAATACTCAACTTCTAAAAGATCATCACTTTATCAGAATCAAGGAGTAAAAGCATAGTTTTCCATGCCCATTAACAATAAGTCATGTGACTTGCTCTTTTTTCAAATATTTCCTCTACAGCTAAATGCAGAATGAGGGAACATCCATTTCTATATCCTCATCAAAGCAAACAGAACCTGAAGTATTTTAGACAAAAAGAATGAAACAGACATCACATAGCTTCCAATAGCTAGAAACATAATAACATAAATAACAGTGAAAGTGAAATCAAGAAGAAAAGGCACATCTATATACCAATAACTCAAAAATAAGGGTCACTAATTTGATATCTTGAAAACTGATGAATCAAAGAGTCCAGACTCACAATACTTTCAAAAACCGCACAAAATCTCCTTAAACCAGTTCAAAGCAAGATCCATGAAAAGCATAAAAATCTCAACTTTCACAATATATAGACATAGCAGAACTAAATTAATCATCAAAAACAATCTCAAGCAGCTCCTCAAAAGCCACAAACATCACAAACTAAAAAACCAATACAAATACACAACAAAACATCAAAAATATCTCAAAAACAGAACGGCTAAATGAAACCAACCTGATATTGAGCAAACCTTATTTGCAACTTCAACAAGAAACCCATTACTTTGAATTTGTTAAAGAAAGCAAAAGGCACTCAAAAAGACCAAAACCCAGATAGGTCTTTCTCTTATAGTGACAAAAGCAAAGATTTTTAACACTAAACTATGATCTAAAGAAGAAACGCTTGATGCCCAGATCAAGAAACATTGAGATTCCAAAATCTGAAAAAAGAAAAGTACTAAGTACAACTACAAAACATGACCGAAATGAAACACCAAGAGATGGAGGAAGAGACAGAGAGAAGAGTTGATAGATATACGTTGATTGGTTAGTCTATGTGTGTGACTCTCCGTATACTTTGCTGTGATGTAATCTCTCTGTGTGAGTAGGGAGGTGAGTGTAAGGAAAAATGAATTCGAAGGGTATTGTGGTAAATGTGGGTCCAGTGTTTTACTATGTTAGTTAGTGGACATACTTTTATTAACTTCAAACTTCTTCTGTCTGATGTTTTATTCAAACTTCAAAAACATGGAGCTCTTGTCTGCCTTGTTTCAAAACGTGAACAGGCGGGCAGGTCGATCCATCTTAGATTAGTTCAGATTGAAAAATTAGAAAAACATATTAGTTCATCCGGTTAAAATCTTGGGGTAGATTCTGTGTCATGAGTTCATCCGGTTAAACTATGCCTATCTATGCTATATATCTTTCTTTTTTTTTATGTTTGAAAGATTTAGAGATCACCCATAACACGAATTTTATCCTAGATTAATCTTTAAATTGAATTTTAAAACTATGCTTCTCTATGCCATATATCTCTTTTCATGTGTTTGTTCCCTTAAAATCCAAAACACCCCCACCAGATTCTTTTAATTTTCTTTGATTAATTTTTCATCCTAAAATAATAATAAAAAGAAAGAAATCTTGGAGAAGTTGGCTTAAATGATAATGAAAACAACCTTTGTTGTTCGAGAGTTAACTTCATAAAAGTATTTTAAGATTTGATCTCGACATTAATACTGTGAAATCTCTCAAAACATAATGTTTTTTGGATAGCATATAATCAATTTATTGTATAAACACATCAGTAGTATCAAAAGAAATTTAAAAGAGAGAAAAAAATATATGATATCCTCCCAAGAATTTGTGTGTGTATATCTATCAATAAAAATAAATCTAATGAAGTTTTAAACATTTCATCTATATTTAAGAAAATTCTCCCAACTTTTTTTAAGTAGCGTTTGTTTACATTGTGACAATGAAAAGTGAAAACATGCCCTTTTTAAAATATTAAACTCTTCATTTGCTTAAAGATGAAGTCATAATTTGTCATAATTGTAAAGGCTTTTTGATAGATTAAGCAACTAAAAGGATTCCTATCCCCGATCTCTACATTCAAGCAACTTCAAATAACTCAGAATTCTATAAGCAATATTTAGTGAGCCATCTTTTAAACTATTATTTGATTACTCCATGTCTCCATACATATTGCTGCGGTGAGAAGAGAATGATAACATCAATTGGTATGCCTTAAATAATATGTAGTATTTAGTTACTAATATAAAATAATATAAATTATATTTTGAACTTTTATTGTAAAATCTATATTCTTGGCCCATCAATTTAAAATTTAAAATTTATCCCAAACTCAACGTAGCTAATTAGATATTTAAAGAAATGATTGTCAAAGAATTATTTTTTTCTCCTGTTTACTGTAATTTTAGTTCTAAACTTAAGTTTTGGTTAAAGGAAGGTTGAAGAAATAAGTAAGTATATATTTTTTCAATTAGAAAATTAATTATGGAAAGATTTAAGAAGTTTTTAGGGTTTTTATTTTGATTTAATGATGGTATAATTTAAGAGTTATTATTGATATTTAAGGTGTTAATTTTGGCTTAAAATGAACCGATAAAAGACTAAAATTATAGGTTATAGTGGAACATATTCATTGTTTAGGGAATTTGTAAATTTAAAGATAGGTTAATTGGGATTCTAGAAATCTTGATCAAATGGTTAACTGATTGGCTAAATCGATCGACCAATTGACTAGTTGTTGTTGGTTGATCAATTGGTCTAAATCAACTAGCCGATTGGCTTGTAATAATGGTCTGTCAATTGATCCAGTGTTAGAGGTTAATCAAATCTATTAGGTTCAAATAATTTGATTTATATTTAGGATCAATTAAGTGAATCAGTTTATCTGTCGAATTACATTTTGGTTTCTAAGCTTTAAATTTTAATTTTTTTTTATGTTATCTTGCTTAGAATTGTTTTTTAGTGTTTTCTATATGTGTTATAAGTTCTGTAGATATTTTTTCTAACGATCTTCAATACTCTCTAGTTCTACATCCATTTTTATTTTGCTTTCATTTCTCATGTGAGTATGATAATCTTTAATATATATATATATATATATATATATATATTGATTAGATAATGAGTACAATTGATTATTTCATGAATACACACACATAATTGGTGAGAGAAACACCAGCATGTGTGGCAATCAATTCTTTCATGATGATTATTTTTTGGTATCATCTGATTTCTAATATGTGTTCTATTGGCTTATGTTAATATATTTAGTAGTTATATTCATATATGACTTGTAAATTATTAATATCCAAGATGTATATTAATTATTGTTTACTCATTGAGTTGGTTAAATTCACCCTTTTATTTTAATATTATTTTATGTTCCTAATTTTCATTAGTATATTAATATTTGATTGAGAATTCTTGCTGCTTTATTGGTTGGTGTGCTTTACTTATTTTCATGAGACTTTTTTTATTCTTTGTTATTTAATATCTTAAACATTCCATTATTATGCTATTTTTATTCGAGTTTAGATTTTTATTTTAAAGATTGGATTTTATTTAATACAATAAGTGTTTTGAATTTTAAACTGTTTTATATTTTTTTAGGAATATTTAATAAATTACAAAATGCTGCGGAAACTCCTTTGATTTCTTCTTACTCTTTAATATATGCCAAGGAAAAATAATAATTATGAAGTTGTATCCAGAGGATAGCTTAACAAATCAACAGCTTAAGAAAGATTTCTGGGTTCAATACCAAGGAAAAAAAAAAAAAACTAATCTGAGCTAGGAGAAGAAGATGTACCCTTTATAGAAGGTTATTTTTTTTTAAAAAAAAAAAATTCAAATATGTTTGCTACACATTTTTTACAATCATAATGCACAAATTTTTCTTTTTATTTTGTGCCCACAGATCATATAACACAACTAATTTATTTAGCTTTTTTCTGGTACCGGATCAAAAACAGTGCGTGTAAAGATTTGTGGATTCATCATAATTTTACTTCTCAACCTATTCTGAAAGTGTCCTTAAAATTAATAAAGCAGGGAATTGTAAACAAGAAGTAAATTCTCTCTTAATCTTGAATGTAATTAATTAATCAAGAGGTGTCCAAACCCATATGAAATTTATTTAAGAATTAAACCCATTGATCACAAAGGGAATAATAATTTGTCAAATATGAGAGGTGTCTAAACCTATAGTATCTAGCAATAGCCACAAATTTTAGACGTGATTGGCAGACAAAAGTCTGCACCTAGCTTGACATTTTAAGTAAAGGATGCCAGCCAAATTTGTCGAAAGATTGATAAAGAAAGTCTTAATCTTGACAGCTTGTTCACCATGTATATGGGTGCATGCATATTCTATTTCATAATAATTTCAAGACACTTGTAACCCAACCTTTTGACTTTCGTTTGAGGTAGTACGGGTATTGGTGGATTAACTTGGGGTAAGGTTTGGATTATTGATTGAGAATGTTGATTTTTTAAATTTTTTTAAGATAATTATAACATTTTGTTTAGATAAAGAGATTAAAAAAAATTAATGGGTTAAGGGTGGATTTTAAATAGGTGAGATATGGCTCGACCGGATTATAAGGTTAACTTGAGTTTTACACTAATCAACTACTTTTTTTTTTTTTTTATCAAATTCAGATTATTTTAAAACAACCAAGTTCCAAATTAATTTATCATACCAATACAACTTTTACAAATATTAGCTAGTAACAAGAAGAAAAAGTCATTCTAACAAAATTCAAGAAGAGAAAATGTGAAAAAAAATATGTTTTGAGAAGTAGTTTTTCTTAATTTTATGTTTAGTATTCTATCTTTTACTTTTTTCAATCAAGTATATACCATATATGTTGAAAGCAATTAATTCATATAGAATTTGGTAGATAATTGAATGAAAAACAGAGAGTTGAATACTCCAACAAGAAAAATGAAGAATTGAAGTCCTCCAACGAAAATAATAAATTTTGGGTACTTGATTCGGTACAAAGAGAAAGTTGCAATACTTGTATAAAGAAAATCATAAAGTTTGTGATTAAGAGTATATAAAAGAAATAGATCCCAAAGACATACTCATACCCAATTGATACAATAAAAAAAAATTCATAGAATAAATTTAATAACATACAAAAAATTACTAATAATTACCTGAATATCAAAACTTTGATATTCCACCTATATCTTTTTCTTTTCTTTTTAATTTTTTTCCTCTCTCATCTCCTACTCATTTCAATATTTTTTTAAAATATTATTATTTTGAATAACAACATCCTATGGATATATTGGATATAGTGTTTTTCGATAGCCAATTCTTTTTTTTTAATATTTTGCCATTTCTTTTTTTTTAAATGCGTTTTTCGATAGCCAATTCTTTTTTTTTAAATGTTAATAAGTAGAAATACCATAAAAAAGGGTGGAGTCTTGTCTTTTATCTTGTTCTCACATTTTCCATTAAAAAACAATCCCCATAATTTATTTTTCATAAAAAACCGTTCTTTTTTTTTTTCACTACCAAGGAAAAAAAAAAAAACCCTGTTCTATGATAAATTCTGGTAACATTTTATGCTTGTGGACCTCACTATTAAAACTAAATAATGCACATGCTATTAAATGGTCAAGGAAAACCACTACTATATGGACCCTTAGGCCCTATTCTTTGAGTACAACATTGATGAAACATGATCTCTCCGTTCTAAAATTGACCACACATTTTCTTGCTCCTTTCCCGGCAACTCATAGCTCTGCTACTCTTTCGAGTTCTGTCAAATCACCTAAATATTTCACGAATAAAATCATGGGCATGATTACAAGATTAATATTCATGTAATGCTACAGTATCGTCACAGGATTAATAGAACATATAAAGCGTGCAGATGTTTTACTGTTTTGATAACTGTGCATCAGTGCATGCACAATGCTTTTACTCTGGACAATGATGGTGTGACGGCAAAAACTTATCTTGCAAATGATAAAGATGACAAGCTACAACACAATTAATATTCCTGCAAATGATAAACATCCTAAGGTATTACTATAACATTTTGAGATTCATGCTGCAGAGTATTAGAGTATAATCATATATTTTGGCTAAATTCCTATGTTGATACACGAATAACAATGATTTTTTTTGTTGTAAATACTAAAGATGCTTGGAACATTATATTTCTCTTTCAATCTTTCCTTTTCCCCCAGTTATTTGGTCTAAAATAATTCGTCACCAACAAATCGTGTTAAATTTCTTAAAGCCTACTTGATCATGACTTGAAAAAAACAACAACTATATATTTTTTTTCTTTTTGAACCTCATAGAACAGTGAGTGAAAGTTACTTTAGGTTTACGAAGTAGTACATTTTTTTTTATATTTCATATATATTTATAAATAGTGAAGTATCTAATCTATGAATCTCTTTAAATTACTGTATCTAATCTTTCATGATTTGGTAAGTAAATGGAGAATTGCATTTACTGTTGTGAATGCTAATTGTATTTGATATTATGGTGTATGATGTTTTTTAAAAATATTTTTTATTTAAAAATATATTAAAATAATTTATTTTAGATTTTTTTTTATTTTTGACATCAGTACATCAAAATAAATAAATAAAATACTAAAAAACCATGAATTTAAGCCAAATTTACTTTTAAAATATAATTTCAAACGCAAAAATGAATGTTACTTAAACCGAGTCTTGTATTTTAAATTCTGATAGAACTGCAAGTTAGTTTTGTACCTATTTTCTTGAGGAAATATTACTGCGTTTATGGATTGGGATAAAATTTGAAAGATTCAAAGTTACAGGCCCAACTCGTAAGCAAATCTATGTTTGACTATATTGACATTTTGTCATATTGATTTAATTGAGAAGGATTTTGAAACGGTACATGAATTTTGGCATGAAATTGTGTTTTTTCGATAATGAAAGATATTTTTTTTTATCTTGTAAACACGCTCTCTGTATCCATTTAATATATTAAAAAAAAATTAATAGATAAAACTATGGAAAAATACAGCAACATAATGCTGTGTTGCTTGGTCTCAGCTGACATGCAAACTGATCTGTGTTCGGAAAAGCTGACCCTATTCGGTAACTCCTGCCGAACATTAGGAAGCGATGTCAGTATGTCTCCCAGTTAGCTTCGACTGCGTGAACTTTCGAGCCTTCATCCTTTTCGTTTAACCATGGCTACATGCGGAAAGAGTACAAGGCAAAGTCACTCTTTTTGCTTGAATTCCTCCTTCCTGTATTCTCTCAAACAACTGCATCGATGAGTCCAACGTGCCATTATTACTGTCATAGCTCAATTTTTGATGTTTTTATTTGAATTATTTTATTTACTAAAAAATTAATGAAAAATAATAATAAAAATAAATAAAAAATAAATTAAAATTTAGGTTAAGGGCAACATGATTGGAAGTTTAAAAACTAGTTTAATTAATTAAATTAAGGGTTTAATTGGAGAATTAATAAGTTTACATACTTAATTAAACTTTGATTTAATAAGTTAAATAAATTCAGGGATTTAATTGAAATTAATTCAAGGAGCAAAATTACAATTTATTGATTAAGGAACCCAATTGATACATTTCAAAACATCATGGACCAATCTATAATCTGTCATTTTTATGTCAAATGACGCCGTTTTGATCCTGCTGTTCATCATCTACTTGTCGAAGACCGGTTCAACAGGGAAAAATCCAGCAGATCACGGCCACTACACCTACGATGCAGCCATGATCTCTCGTCTCCACGATGCCCACCATTTCTGGAGGCAGGGATACCAGACCTTCTCTGGCTCTATGAAAGCCAGAAAAGGCCTCAAGAGAGGGGGAGCGACCTGGAGGAAAAGAAGAAAAACTGGGAGGAGCATACGAAAAAGAAAAGAAAAGACAGTAGATAGCAAATTTTCTGCCCCTGTTTCTTCTCAAGGAAACAAAGGCGTTCGTGCCTCGCGATCGTGAGGCACGAACACGTGAACAGCGGCCATCCTCTGGGTTTATAAAAGCCAGAGAAGGCCACAGGGAAGAGAAGAAAAACCCAGAACACGGGGAAAAGAAGGGGAAAACGAGGGCTTCGGCAAACAAGCCTAACACAGAGACGAAAAGAGAAAACACAGAGGAGGGAGCTTCTATTCAATCAGCAGCACCTCGTGCCTTTATCACCATCGTCTTCGTCCTGAGCGAGGGGACGGCAGAACGAAAAGAGGAACGGGAGCATAAAAAAACAGGGAGTTAAAAAACCGATACAGGGGAGCGACTGAGAGCAAATTCACAGATAAAAAAAAGGGCAGAACCGGGGGGTGAAAAACTAAAACAGAGGAGAGGAAGCCGTGTTGGTGGAACGGCCCTTCCATACCGTCATCTTCGTTTGCAAGCAGCAGAGGCCAGGAACCACAGAAGAAAACAAGGGGGATTGGACCGAAAACCAGGGGGAGGAGGAACGTAACACAAGTCACCTTCATCACAATCTTCTTCACGGTCTTCGGAAACCAGTGAAAAGAGAACAGAGGAAAGAAACAGAGAAGATGGAGGAGAGCAAGAGCTAGGGTGCTATGCTTCATCTCCGTCCCTAGAGTGCAAGCAAATAAAAACAGAGGAGCTGCCGGCGTTGATCACAGCCGCTCGTCTCCAGCTTATCACACCAAGTTAGTAGCAGCCAAAGAAGCAAAGGAAAGCAGAAGAAGGAGCAGAGAAGAGGAAGTGGTGTCGGCCAGCCAGAGCTTCGTCACCGTCTCCATCGCCTCCAGCAGAACTGGTAAGCGACCTCTTCTTCTTGCATTGTCTTTGTTAATTAGCATTTACACTGTGCAAGACCGGGCCGGGCTGGCTGGGTCCAGCCCAGTCTAAAAATATAAATAAAAATAAAAAAAAAAAATAAAAAAAATTGTGTATAAAAAAATTATAAATATGAATTTTTTTATTTATTGATGCCAGAGTCAGAATAAAAATACTGATTTAAATTTATTTGTTTTTTTTGTGTGATGCGTAAAAATAAATTTATTTGATTTATTTATTCATTGACGTCAGAATTAGGAATAAAAAAAATATTGATTTAATTTTTTTTTATAGCTATGTAATATTTACCAATACCAAAGTTGGAAATATTCACTAGAATCAGAGTCAGGAATATTACACGCAAAACCACCGTAGCATAAACCAACAAAACATTAACAATTTATGACAAAATCAGCAATGCAGCCTGTCTTAGACAGGAGGCTCAAGGGGTGATAATATTTTTGCTTTTGTGTAACCAGTCTCGTACTATAGAATCTCTATTGACCAGTTAGAGTTCCCAATAACCATAATACTAGATGACGACTCTTTAAATAATACAATTTCCCATCAAAGAATAGAATATCGGAAATTAATTCTTTTTTATGATAATTTTTAAGGCCACTTAGATGTCAGGTGTGATAGTTACCATAGCATTCAATCATAGCATTCCATGATGCTACATTTTTGTAATAACAATCATATAATTAGAGAATAAAATTACTCAATAAGAAGGTACGGTTAGGGTTCTTGTTTTTAAGACCCCTTTCCTGAAATTCCGTCTTCCCTTGATCCTTGACTCCTAATCTGATAAGGTTCGGCTGCGTTAGTTAGGCTACCTATAATGCGAAGACGAAATGATGAAAGGTTCTGTCTTATGCCACAAGAAGTAAAATTTTTCATAAATCCTGTAAGGATCGCCCAAAACAGTACGAGGAAATGACTGGAAACAAAGAATTTACAAGGGAAATTCAGGTAGAAAAAAACAAAAAGAATAGCCCGTCACATGTATTCAAGAGCTTAATTTTATCTTGAAAAGTAAGCTCTTTGCATGCTTGAACTGATATCCATTGCAAAATTCATGCAATAAGAGGCACTGCTAAAAAACAAAAAATAAAATAAAAAATAAGAGATTATTAACTAGGCCTGTGCTCAAACTAACGAGCATAGCTTGTGCTTACAGCATCAAGCTTTCACCTAATGACTTCGAACATATATATGATGCTACGAAGTTGAAAAGAAGTGAGAAAAGAAATAGAAGATATATGGTCTTAACTTGACCTGTCGAGTTAAGTTAATAAAATTGACTTTTGTATATATTCAAACTAAATTTTAACAAAATTGACCTGCCGAGTTAAGTTAATAACCACGAACATACTTTTTTATGAAACTCAAGCCAAGTTGGTCTATAAACTTGAAATTCTTTTTTTCTCAGCCTTCTTTTTTAGGAGTAGCTATATTGTGATGAATAACTTAAGAAACATACTATTTACATGGGTCATGTCTATTAGAGTTACACCGTTTAAGATTGAAGTACTGGTTAGTAATTAGTTATTAAGCACATATTTTGAATAATAATTCTTTGATTCTACTTGTTGCTCTTGAACATGAAAAAGGAGGGGGCGAGATGCAAGTATTTGAAGCCTTGTTATGCATGTTGTAACGTAAATGATGTTTTTCTTTCCAAACTGATAGAGACTCAGTCCTTACAATCAATCTGTTACTCAACTGGACAAGTTGAAGAAATCATCATTTGACATGAAATTTAGAGTATGGACCCAGAAGATGATCTAGACATGTCTGAAATGATAGGTACTACAGATTATTCAATACATGGTAGATAGGTTACATTCATTGGCCTTAGTTCCTGGATATCAGATAGGTAATAGGTTACATTCATTAGCATTAGTTATTTGTGCTTGCGCGCGCACATAAAGGATTTAGATTGTGCTAGTATATGATGGAGTATCAAGAGGAATAAAGACTTGATCAGCTCCTTCTAGCATCAGCATTGTTAAAATAATTAAAATCAAATATAAAAAAAAAAACTAAAATTCTGGATAATCTCAATATGATGAATGTTTAGTTTTAATCTTAATGCAAATAAAATATATATAGGTTAAACAGAAAGTATTATTTTACCCTTAATAAATAAAACTACACAAATATTATTTAACATCTTCCCTCAAACTCCCGATGCGACAACTACAAGCATTGAGAGTTTGTCAACCAGAAAATGAAAACGAGAGATGAAATGCGCCTTGGTAAAGAAATCTGCAATCTGCAAGGAAGAAGGAACAAAAGGTAAAGCAATGGTGCCATGTTTGAGATGATGACGAGTAAGATGACAATGGATTTTAATGTGCTTAGTTCGCTCATGAAAAATTAAGTTGTGAGCAATTTGAATAGAACTCTGGTTGTCATAATACATAGGAGTGAGATGAGAAAAGGAAACTCCCATATCAGCAAGTAACCAACGCAACCAAACAATTTCTTTGGTAGTAGATGTCATGGCATGATATTATGCTTTGATGAATATTTGAGAAACAATAAATTGTTTCTTGCTTTTTCAAGAAATAAAAGAATCACATAAAAAGATACAAAACTCGATAATAGACTTGCAATTTGTGGGATCACTACCATGATTAGCATCAGAGTATGCATGCAACTCCAAGAAAAAGGTGGATGAAAGTAAAAGAATTTGAAAAATTGTTCCCCGAAGATATCGCAAAATATGAAGAACAGCTGCCCAGTGAACAGTAGTAGAAGAAGCAACAAACTGACTAATAACATGAACAACATATGTAATATCTGAAGGAGTAATGGTGAGATATACCAAACTCCCAACAATAATGCGGCATAAAGTAGGATCTATCAAAGGTAAACCATCAGAGGAAGAGTACCTCACGTTAACCTCAATGAGAGTATCTATAGTCTTGTTATCAATAAGTCTAGCCCGCTCAAGAATATCTGCAACATATTTCGACTGAGAAAGAAGGTAACCTCTAAGTGAGTATGCAACCTCAATACTTAGAAAATATTGAAGATAATCCAAATCCTTCATTTTAAATCGTTTAGCCAACTCTGTCTTCAAGACTAAAATGCCATCAATGTCAATACCAATAATAATCATGTCATCAGTATATAAAGGCAGAATGATACGACCTGCATCAGTGCACCTAATAAAAAGAGCAGAATCATGATTGCTTGAAATAAAGCCAAGAGATGAGATCACAATAGATAATTTCTCAAACCAGCACGAGGTGCTTGTTTGAGACCATATAATGCTTTTATTAAGTTTATAAACATATCTAGAGTCATGTGAAATACTAGGAGGGAGTGCCATATAAACTTCTTCTTGAAGATCTCCATTCAAGAAGGCATTTTTAACATCAAGTTAAGAACTATGCCTCTGATGAATTGAAGCTACGACGATAAGAGTATGAATAATAGTCATTTTTGCAATCGGGGCAAATCTCTCCTTATAGTCCATACCATAATGTTGAGAGTATCCTTTTGCAACCAGCTTAACTTTGTATCGTTTAATAGACCCATCAGAATTAGTCTTGATTTTATACACCCAACAACAACCAACAACACTCTTATCAAGAGATAAAGGAACCAGATCCCAAGTATATGTCTTATGCAAAGCAGAAAGTTCCTCATCAATAGCTTGCTACCAAAACGAATTAAGAATTGCCTCTTTATAGGAAAAGGGTTTAAAGAGACAATGAATAGAAGCTAAAAAGGAAGTAAATGATAAAGAATAACAATAATAAACAAAATCTGGTAGTTTTATGGACTTACGAATGCAGATAGATTGACATAAAGGTGGATCCATAATCTCAGATGAAGCTTGAGGGGCTATAGATGAGAATGGAGCTTCAGCTGTGTTAGAGAGTAAAATACCAATACCTGCAGAGTTATGAGTATAAATTGATTGAAGATGGAGAAAGGTACCATTACCAGAATCCTTATAGAAGGGATCAATATGAATAAGATCAGTTTTAGTCAAGCTATGAGTAGTGGATGGAATAGAAAAGAAAGGTATATGTTTAAGAAAGACAACATGACGAGACACATAAAATTTCTGAGTTATTGTATCAAAATAATGATACCTCTTTTTACCTTCACCATAACCCAGAAAGACACAAATAATGGATCAAGAGGATAGCTTACTACGTTATAATAACAAAATAAGTATAACCAAAGACTCTAAATGATGAATAATAAGGGATATATCCATATAACTTTTCAAAAGAAGATATACCCGAACTATGAGAAGATGGAATCGTATTAATCAAAGTTACAGTAGTAAGAACAGTTTCTCCCCAAAACTCACTAGGAGCAAAAGCAGACAACAAAAGAGAACGAGCAGTTTCGATAATGTACCTATTATGTTTTCTTTCAACCATACCATTTTGCTCAGGAGTATCTATACATGAAGTTTGGTGGGTGGTTCCATCTAAGGTAAGCAATTAGAAAAATTTATTAGAGGTATATTCCCGACCCAAATCACACCTAAAGCATTTGATCACAATAGAATTTTGAGTTTTGATAAGAGCTCAAAAGCTGCATATATCTCAAAAAATTTAGAACGATGTTTCATTAAGTAAACCCAATAATAATGAGTATAATCATCAATAAAATAGACATAATATCAGGACCCTCCTTTTATGGCAACAGGAGAAGGTCCCTATACATCAGAATGAATCAAATCAAATGGTGAAGAAGAAACAGAAATACTTTGATTAAAAGGTAAAGCAGAAAGTTTTGCCAGTTTACATCCACTACAATCATAAATATCAAAAGTTTTTAAATTTCTGAAAGTTCCTGTGGATGCTAAAAATCTCAACTAGAAGATGAAATATGACCTAGACGGGAATGCCATAAATAAAAACTAGAAGATGAAAGACTTAAACGAAAGGAAGACAAATCAACAGCAATAGTTGTAGCGGGAACAACAACAACTAGCACTTTTAGCTCATTCAAAATATATAGTCCATTTTTCTACGGCCTGTCCCAATCAGCTTCTGAAACT